GTTAGGGGTGATTTTCAATACCTATGCAAATTTACAATTGTAAAACTCATTAAAATTATATTAATTACAATGGTTATCATTTTATTTATCGCTTATTAACATAAAGCGCTATTCAGTTTTTAAATCATTTTTTGCATATTTGCTAGAAAGAAGCCCACAATTAAGTATTATATAACTTTATCCAGAAACTAGAGCAGTATTATATGGTCAAAAATATACACTCTTAACCATTTAAATTCTAATATAACGTATGATTTTCCCCTTTAAGAAAAAAGAACTTGTATTACTATATAGAAAAATATTAAAAGTGAGTCAGCATAATGAAGCATTTATAATAGTATGATTTTTTATACTTTTTTAGGTTTCAAAACAATTGCTTAACAATGCATATTACTAATCAATTGCCTAATCCGGGCAGTTACTAAACAGGATTACATGTTCACCCTACTGATATTTTCATCACAGTAGTTTTGTATCGCAGCTCTCAGTTAAGTGAACAATAGCGCTCCACGCCAGACATTTATATGAGTCCTGGACCTGACAGTGCATGTGGTTACTGACGTGTGTTGTGGGACTATTTATATGTTATTTGTCAAAATTATTTATAACTAGTAAAGTAAAAAGTTGTGAAATTTTGTTTTCAATTACTTTAAAGTCAAATAGTTGTATAGTTTAGTTGTATAATAATTGATAAAATAAAATTAGTTGATAAAAATATTGTGTAATTAGTCTAGGTTTTAGTAATATTTCCAGCTAATTTTATTCGTGAACAGATAAAAATATTATGGTAATTAATAACATGCTCATACAATACAAAAATATATTTTCGATAGGCTTTGTTCAGCTCTGGGTCATGTTTGATATTTAGGCTGGCAAGCTGCCCGGTCATTCCAGTAATTGTGTAGAGCAGAGTGCGGGTCTTTGTCCTACTCTGTGACGTCACATTATGAAAACCTCCTTATTCTAAACGATAAAGCTTAAAAAGAATTGTGCTTATAAAGCTTATTGCATAATGCGTCCATTCTGAATCGTTCTGATTCACACTACTCAAAAGCTATTAATGCTGAAAGGAATTGTATTTTGCCAACATGTTGGGATAGACAAAATTAAAATTGTCATTGGATAAATCATAACCCTCAAAACTACCCCCAACGAGTAATTAAATATTTAAAGTCAATGTTTTATTATTTCATGATTAAATTCTGTCACTCTTTTTACCAACGATTAGTTAGTTCCATAAAAAGCTGGGTTTTCCTAGACGCGGAGTCGGCCAGCGGAGAGCGGACAACGGAGAGCGGAATTGAAATTAACATGGCATTCCGCTCCGCTGCTAGGAAAACAGTAACATTAAATTACCTAAGACCAGCTGAGTCCGCTCTCCGCTGTCCGCTCTCCGCTGTCCGCTCTCCGCTGGCCGACTCCGCGCCTAGGAAAACCCAGCTTAACCACTGCATCGGTTTTTATTAATCATAGTACTACGGTCTTTTTAAAACATGTTCATTTACTAAAATCCTATCTTAACTGATTATAAAAAGGTGACTGTTTAAAGGTTTAAAGATTGAAATAGTTTATGTGGCCATTTGATTGTAACGTTAGGTTACCTGTAAACATGTTGTACAAATACTATACAAACTAAAACCTAATATGAAACAATACAAACACCACTGCAAGTCAAAATAACAAAGAACACAAAGATCAAAATAAACTAATTATACATTTTTATTTGGACCAAATATAACATGATTTGACCAATATTCCTTGCCTTTAAACACTCCTCAACAATATAATGGATTTGTTAAATTATAAACATAAATTTTCTATGTACTTAATTCTAACAGGCAGAACACTGATAAATTTTAAATCTGATACAGAGAAATTATTTGGAGTCTTACTTAACTTATCGCTAGTAGTATGCACATCATGAAAAATTCGAAAGCTATATGGATATAATCTATCCATATAGATATATGATATCTCTATTAAAAATTAAAAAAAATTTCCATCGATTTGATAGCATTTCTTTTTTTTTCTTAGGGAGAGGAGGGAAAATGCTTTTACGCACACAGGTAGCCAGCCTGTAGCGTGAGACTCCTGAAAATTATCAGACTACTCACTAAAAAACCCCCTATACTCTGTTGGACACAGACCTGGAATTGTTTGTCACATTACTTCAAGTCAGGCCAACATGTGACCTAAGCCCTCAGGGCTCGCGCCGTTTCTGGCATTTAAATTCTTAATGACCTACACCGCATCCTGGTCAAGGTCGATCTTCTTGGCGCGGAGAATACCCTGGATATAATGTGACACACAGGTCCAATTGTCCTCACCCTCCGTCATAATCGGTATGACCGTGTCCACCGACAGCAGTCCTACTAACTGTTGAGCCTCCAGGCGGGGCCTTTCCCAGCCCTGGCAGTGGAAAAATGTATGTTCCACGTCATCGAGAATGCCTGGGCAGTATATGCAGTCGGGTGACACGGCTTTGCCCATCCTGAACAGGTACCGACCTGATAGCATTTAATTACTGTAAAATATAAGCATTAATTACACATCACGCGAACTATTTTTTCACTGTTTTATGTAGCACATGGATCTTCTGGGTGAGTGACGAGTGTCCTAATAGCCCTGTGGCATACACAATGTGTGACTGAAAAATATAATTGTATATTCTTAAGTCAGGGGCAGTTAATTCCATCTTAGAATAACTCGATTAAGTTCAATGTAACACACGGAACATGATCTGACATTGCCATGTAAAGGAGATAAGAAACCCCAAAAGGTATTATTACGATACATTTCAAAGCCATATTGACCTTTTAATTTAGTTTCAAAAATAACAAATTGATTCTGATGATAATTTAATTGAATTATCACGTAACATGACGGCGCCCTGTGATAAGAGCGCCACTCTCTATGGGACCCTATCTCCAGGAAGGACACAGCTCTTTTTCGTCTTATTGCAACCCATAATGATAATCTTAAGGTTAGGATAAGTTGTGTTGGGTTAGGTTAAGTAACAGCCTAAAACTAAAAAAATGTCAATAATTGCAACACGTCTCATCAACTATCTCACAATGACTTTGAAGACTTTAGGGATCTCACGCGTCTAACTTATTTCTCAAATTATTTTGTTTTGCACTGTGTTCAAAGCAATCTTCAATCTTCTCTGTCCATTGTGCTGTCATCCCACGGATTTACTCATACACCCTAGTGCTTAAGATTATTTAGACATCAATTCTCGCAGATTTGTATTTAGTATAACAATGGTATAACCCACAAACACACTTCTTTGTACCTAAAGACAATGATCATAATATTGTTCTAACCTCAATACAGCTTGCGGCGGAGTTCGATATTACTTGATAGGTGAAGGATGTAAGACGCCGTCTTCTATCAAGATGGGTAATTGGTAATTAGTGAGTGTGATGTTGATATGTGATAGCAATTACCACACTCGTTTGTGCTCAGCCTGCAATGTCAACACATTTTCAGGAAAAATATTGTTCACTAAGAGTTACCGTAATTATACTCATGCTTTATTACAGATCAAAATATTCTAAATTGGACGGGTTATTGTTTTACATGTACATGTACATATCATTGCCGGATTAAAACATCGCATTTTCTTTTCAAGCCAATTCGTCGAATAAATAACAAAACCATTATAAGTCAATTTAATGATCGTCCTTTAAGCCTGAACTTAATTGCACAGCACTTTTCTCCTTAAGATAAAATTATTTAACACTGTAATAACTATTCTAACTAATCAACTAATCATTTGAGTTAATCAAGGTAATTTGAAAATATGTGCTGCGTAAAAATATCATCCATGGACTACAAGCAGGCCAACAAATTAAAAACATATAATATTTTACAATATAAATTCGTACATATCATATAAGTATAAGTATATATAAGTATTTAAATAACTTGTAAAATCATCTATATTGTTAAAGGATCATAGATTTTTGGTTAGCTATTTTCCTACCTGTTCAATGTAAACAAGCATCCACCGTTCTCCATTACGTTCCTACAAGGATCGTGAATGTCCTGTAATACCTCGCCTGACGCTTTCATTAGTGGTTGCTTTCATCTCGGAACCCTCCCTGTTTAGTACAATCTTTTAAAAACACCTAATTATTTTTTAATCTCCTTGTGGTTAAGGGTTAAAAAAATATTTTACTTCACCTTATTGATGCTTTGAAATACATACATTTGGATTGATAAATATCGTCTGTAGCCTTTATTAAAAAAGATCTGAGTCAAAATACTTATGGTCATATCTTTTTATTTTTATAAGAACAAATTAGAAACTTGCATTATAACGGTCTAAAACTGATTAATGAAATTATTGATTAATTGATAAGTATGCAACATCAATGTCATTAACTTTACGACGACAATAATAAAATATACATACCGAAGTTGAACATTCTTCCATTCTAATTTTTCATAGTTTGTATTTTCCACGTTGATAAATATAAGTATACTCTATTACAAAAAGTTTTACTTGCATAAGGATTTTTAACGTCATATGAAAAAACCCTGTACGTGCACTGTCAAAAAACTATTAAATAGTTTATTAAACTATTCGAACATTGAATAGTGATATTGTAAGTTATAAGTGAACCAAGTTCTACTTCGGCGGTCCAATTTCTTGGCTAATGCAAGGCTAGGGTATCTTGTCCTTACAACTTAAGCAGGAAGTATTTGCGTGACCCACATAAATAAAGTGTATACTTATCTTCATGAAGAACTGGTAAAATTGGGTCAAATTTAACGTGTATACTGTTTCTTTATAATCTTAACAAATATCATGAAACAGTTTAGGGAATTTGGAATCATTTACAACAAGTCCTGTAAATTTAACCTGGGTCGACACTAAAATCTATTTTAGTTATCTATTTGTAGTTACAAATTTCAAAACACAAAAAATCTATTAATAATAAATATAGCATGATACGTGGTAATAAATTAATAACACATTAAAACAAGCACTTTATTAACAACCACCACAATCAATACATTGAGTGGGCATCACAATACGTGTGTATAAAAACTACCCCCACTGCAAAAAAACAAAAAATTATCAAAACTGATTTTTTATACATAAAATTTAATCAACTGCATGTGAGAAGAATTAATTGTCTTTGCTACAGTTAAAAGTTTATTTTACCCTTGACAACATGTCAGCTGATGGAAAATAGTTAAATTTGATATTAGGTGAACTTTCAGTTTCAATATTAAAAACCTTTTCAAAGCAAATTCCAAAATACATATTGTACCACCTTTTCTTTAACTGAGACAAACCATAAATAGAACAAAATTTTGAATTTTTATGAGCTAAAACGTATGTTAACTATAATCTAATATCAATAAGAAAAATTACAACAATTCACTTATTAAAATGTTTCTTAATTAAAAATTGTGTCCTTAAATTATTTACAGACATCCAGGAACTTCTTAATTACTCAAATCAAATCTTGAATGTCATAAGACTAAAAGTTAAACGAATTATTCTGTAAAATAATCAAAACTTTGTTGTATGTGATAATATTACGATGTAACATTTTTGAACAGTTGTAATATTTGTAATTTACACTTTTTCGCTGGTCTGAAGAAATAACTGTTTTGAGGTAATTTATTACTTAAAATTCCTTCCCGATTAGATAATTCATAAACCCAATCTGAGTTTTAAATTGATTTCATTTTGTATTCTAATTTGGGCAGTTACAGAGCAAAATATTTTGCTTATAGGCTACTAACATAAATGTTTATATGCTCAGTAACATGTTCTTATAAAAAAAAACATTTTTTTTTTTTATATTTTATAGTATTTTAAGATTTTTGAATAATTTATTAAACACTAATTTACACTACAATTAAAATTATATAAACCCCTATATATAAACATTCTTAAATTACCACGGCGTGGGTGAGTGTGTTTGTATACAATTTACAATGACTACATTAAAACCCCCTAATCATTATAACAGTAGGCACTTAAAAGTTCTATAAATCACATTTGTATCTTTATTAGGTAAAATATACTAAACAAGGTCTAATTATCCTAGAGTGTTACAATCATTTTAGTGTATTTGAATTTGCGTTTTACTGAAAACTTAATTATATAATATATTATACAGAAACATTATATTTACAATTAGAATAATTCTTCAGTGAGATTTAAATACACATTACTTAACTTGATTAAAATCAGAAATAGTAAGCTATTTATTTTCATAACTGTAGCTATAGGATTATAGTAAGGAATTATAACACATGTAACAAACTATCAAAACCAAAAACTATAGCTTACTTCTTTCTATGTAAATTATTATTTGGTATGTATGGTCATCAAAATAAAATTTACTCATATTTGGCATATATCTTTCTGTAATTGACATCATGAATATATTTAGAAATTTTACGTTCCAATATATAAGTGTGGTCCACTTTAAACAGTATGTATAAACAATACCATAATTCGTATTACTTATTTTCACACAGAATAAACTATTTAATAACATTCAACTTCACATCATAGTTCCCTGTTCTCTCATAAAGGCCTTAAATGCCTACACTTTACATCCTAATGCGAAAGAACGCCTCATATACCACCACTAATTACTCTTTTTTTTTATAGAAAACACATTATATCTGAAATTATAAACTGAATATTACGTTGCTCTAATTTAATTTTAGTTTAAGCGTGTATGAGTATTAGGCCTTTTAGACAGTTTCTAGCAGATGTCTATCTGATTATAATTCACGTTTTTTCATACTTATATAAATGAACTTTTGTAATCAAGTAATCATTAGTAAAATGTTTAATTGATTATCAGCATTGTAGTTTTATTACAACACCTCACAGTTAACATGCCTTACATTTGGTAGTAAATACTCTATTTAGTCATGTTTTTACGCTTTTTACAAAAATATAAAACAAGTGGTATTTTACAAAAGCTACGATCGCTACAGTTGGATGGATGGGCCCCCGTAGAGGCCCTGAAGCGAGGGCTAGGTATCGGGGTCGTAGCAGAGCGACGACTTCTTCATTTCAATCATAGGAAGTATGGCCGTCTCCTACAATGTAAATAATAATTGTTATCACAAACCTTAAACACAATTTTTATATTTTCTCACATTTTAAATTTATTATAAAAAAAAATATATTTCACTACACTAATAATGTATTCAAAGAATAATATATTTTTTTACATTGAGTTATTAGATAAATTTGCTTTTTTTGCTCCTATAAGTAGTAATCAATATGTGTGTAACAGAAAATACGGTTTTGTACTCTGTTAAAATCTTGAACATGCTAAAAATTTCATATTAACACATTTTTTTACAATGTGAAACCACGTCTATAAGGAAAATCACAGGATTGATGATATCTTTGGTTGTAATAGGTCATACTTGCGTAAATATGATTCATAAATAGATTCCATCGTCGGAACTGACCCCGTTGATGTGAGGAAGCTCCAATGCTGCTGGGACGTAGGTTGTTCCAGGTGAACAGCGAGTACAGCTACGCTTTAGAGCTGGACGTTGCCTAGACCCGTGACAACGTACTGCGAACCTCAACTCCTCAGCCATCTCAGAACATAGAGATTGCTGGAACAAAAATGACAGGCCTAAGCGTCACTTGGTGCATAGCATTGATCTCTTTTACTACACGATCGATGGATGTAATTGATGTTATGTTATGTATTTGAATATGGATGTATATGTGATGTCCAGGTGAACAGCAAGTATCAGTCAAGCTTTAGAGCTGGACGTTGCCTAGACCCGTGACAACGTACTGCAAACCTCAACTCCTCAGCCATCTCAGAACATAGAGATTGCTGGAACACAAATGACAGAGGCCTAAGCGTCACTTGGTGCATAGCATTGATCTCTTTTACTACAAGATCGATGTATGTAATTGATGTAATGTTATGTATATGTATATGGATGTATATGTGATGTCCAGGTGAACAGCAAGTACAGCCAAGCTTTAGAGCTAGACGATGCCTAGTGCCTATACCCGAGACAAATAACATACTTTTAAAAGATAGAAAAAATAAAAATAAAGATAATTTATTACATTTTATTTCATAATTTTGCTCCAATTATATATAATATTTTTTTTATAGTTCACAACGATTCCAAAATAAAAAATCTACACTTGCTTTAATTAAACGAATTCAATATTATCAATATTTGCGTAATAATTCTCAAAGCAAGAGAGCACATTGAGTGAGTGGTCACGGTTATTGACTCCATGATGACCTGTCGTTCGGAGTGACAGATGTCATAACTTTATTTGCAAACATTGCCACATGTTTGTTAGTAAAGCCATTTTTACCACCAACATTTTTACCAATAAATTGCCGTTGTTTTCATTATACAATAACTAAATGCTTTCACGAATATGTATTCTTATCAACAGAGAGTGTAAATATATGTTTTAAGTGTTATTAAACTAAGTTTAATTCACATAAGTTAATCAGCTGCATTGGGTTATATATTGGGGTCGCATTTTACACAACTCCAATCACAAAAATAATATAGTCTACGTCTTAATCTTTTTAAACAGACTGAGGTTTTGAGTCATTTTAAATTGACAAAATTGATCTCACCAATCAATCTAATTCCTTTCTTCCCTAAAGGTTTAAAAAAATTCCTTACTCAATCCATATTTAGACTCAAATATTTTTGACTGTTGGATACAGTTTACGATTTTATTTTAACAGCTCGTTTGAACTATAACTGATTACACAGAATTTTTACAATTTAATAACCAAAGCTATTCAGAGTTTAATCTTTATAACACCGATGCCGGTATTTAGTAAAATATAACTTTAAAAAAATCGTAAACCCAAGATATTGAAGTTCTATGAAAGAAAAACACAAACAAACAGTACTTACCCGGTCTGTTTGGGCGTTCTTCTTTGAATTCCAGCAAAATTCAAGGATTGCCACTAATATAGCAAGTGCAAGGCCACAAAGAAGGACTACAAAAACGCCACCTGAAAAATGTTCAGCATTTAATAAATAGGTTCTTTCCCTACAAAAGTTTTGATGACTATATAAGTAATTCTAAAAATAGTCAGTTTATGCTAAACCTAAACTAAATTGGAAAGCAAGAACAATGAAACTTAAACAACGTCTAAGACACATGGATAGTGATATGATTTTTGCTTGGGGTTTTCTCGTTTTAAAATATAGTACTCTTTATTATGTCAATAACCATCTTTATGAACATGTATAAGTCAATTGCAATGTCAGTTTAAATTATACTGTACTAACAATTTATTTTACGGAGGCAAATTTTATCACATTTAGTGGGTTTTTATTGGACATACAGTCTCAGGATGTTTACAGTTTAGTTATATGTCCAAGCAAAAATGATAAAGTATCCACAAACGATAAAGTACGAACGGATCTAAAAAATTCTATAAGATACAATGAGGTAAAACAGGTGGTTGATAATAAAATATATATTTCATAATTAAATCTCCTTAATTTTGTTTAGTTGAGACAAAGTTTAATATTATTAGTTTGAAAAATTTCAAACATTTGATATAATATATATATATAATAATATAATATAGCCTATATATTTAATGAAAGTGAGTTATTTATATCTATACCAAATGTACTTTTATCCAAGCAAAGAAACGTGAGTTTTAGAGTTATATATTTGACTATCAATCCAATAGTCAATGATTATATTAGGATTTTATTTTTCCAAAATAACATTCAATGGATTGCAAGGAGCTACAGACCAGATCGTCAATCTTACCGATATTCTCCACCCCGAGGGCGTTCGCTTTTGACTCCTTGTTCTTGTCATCTCTGTTACAAACGTCACCCGTGTTCTTCCACCACTTGTCGTACAAGATCTGTATAACTCCCTTCTCCTGCAGCTCGAGAATGGCAAGCGATATCTTGTCTCTCCATGGAGAACCTTTTGATAAAAAACAAAATACTCTTAGACTATTGGAACCAACAATTTGTTAATTATGGGGAACTGATAGTAATGACGATTGCTTTTCATCGGGGGAAATTATTTACGATTGCTGTACCACAGTTATAACCTATATTGAGTCATATTGATCAGTCAGATAGCTGAATTAGTCTCATGCCAGGAATAAATAAATGTAATGAATGTTTACTCAAGGCTCTCAAGTATTTTATTGTTTGTTGGAGAAAAATCAAACGTTTTGTTTGAATACCTTAGTGTGACCTCATTATACGTGTGTTTTAAGTGTACGGATGTATTAATAGTAGTTAATGCAACGATCACGTAAAGGCTATTTACCCGAGCTGCGTATATCACTTTACCCACAAATGTATTTTTTATTACTAACAATCACTACTCCTAGCTTCTAAGATAGGTTATGTTTTCGTTTATAACCTCTTACTGCTACTGATAGTAATGCAGATATTCTTTTGATTATTTTCTCTCAATACTTAAATCTCATTGGTACGTAACTGGTTATTTAAAGTAAAAAAAAAATAAAAAAATAAAAAAAGTAATGCATGAAAGTAAGTAAAAAATGCTTAAACAACTAACAAATTAATTTAAAAGGCTTGTTAAAAGAAGGTCATAGGTAAACAAAACTTTCTAATTATGTGAAAAGTGTTCACCTTCAAATACGAACGTCATTGTTTTGATTTTAAGTAAAATTGATTCTATATTTAGTACTAACATTCATGTTCGTGGTAATTTATTTTTAATACAATATGACAAAATATTTTAGTTATACGTTACCTAAAAAGAGGGAACTAGTATTTGAATCGACTCTTGCTAAAGAACCAAAAAACTTCAATGGCTTAAGATAAAGGCGTTCAAATGGGTTCAAACACTACTATAAAGGTAAAAGTGCTGATAGAGATGAAAAATAACATTAGAGATATATTATAACGTATATAAGTGACAAGAATATACTACCTTTAGGCGTGGCGATGCCGTAGCCTTTGGAGTCTAGCAGCCCGCCTATCTGTGTAAGGTTACAGTCTCGTTGTACCGCGTAGTCCAGCATCGTGGACTCCATGAGGAACGCGTAGTTTCCCTCCAGAACTCTCTTGACTCCCTCCTCGTATGACGAGACAAACACTGACGGTCTCTTGCTCTCCATATATCTCCACATCTTCTGGTAGATCCCGATCTTGGAATCCTATTAAAGCGTACACAATGTTGATAATTACGTGGGGAAAACTTTGCATAAATGTGACATTACGAGAGCTTTTTTCTATGATAACAATTAATTCCTAAAGCTGGATTACCAGTGTTCCTATAAGAGCATCAATATTAATGTATACGAAATTTTTTTTCAAATTTCATTTTGACATAAATTTTCCATAATCTACTTTATACTATTGTTATATTTAATGCGCAACGTACTACGCCATGTACCGATGTTTGGTGGATGTTCCACTTTACCGATATTATGTAGGTAATGTAATAAAGATTATTGGAAAACTGAGTACATTAACAGATTACATATCGTGATTTGGCTCAAAATTGAGTTATTATAATTACGTATTATACTAAGTGGTAAAAGGTTGTTCTTTTTTCTCGAAAAATAGTAAAGATTTATTAAAAACTAATATTTAGTATCTCTGTTGAACACTTACACCATACACCTTAAGCGATATAAGGAAAGGGGTCATATTACTGTATCATGTATCTTGATGCAATGCAAAACAAAAGGGATGCCAAACAAGTATACAACGCTATAACATGTATTATATTATGCGTCAAATCATGGTAACACATACGATGATTTAAATGAAATCCATGTGACTCTTGCATACCCAATAAATATGATATCCATACAATATAAATGTATGGAGTCTGCTCATGACGTAATAGAGTTTCGACATGATAAAATCTCGTGTGACAAAACGTCCACATCAATACAAACACAGTGGAGAGGCTGTGGCATTGTGGCCAGTTAATGGAGTGTGAACTCTGCGCGATTTACCTCGTATCTACATGCATAAAACAACAATGAGTGTTGTGCGTGATTGATGTACAACAATCCGTCCATCGCAGTTTTAGACTTTACATTGTGGTTTACAGTTATCGAATGTGTCGCTAGTTCTCTACCACTCAAAAGATTGAATCCCCAGCATCCCCTCATATATGAATTCCACGTATTATAAACAATTCCTAAGACTACTTTATTTCCCCGGGCACAACCACCATTATCCCTTACCTGATATGTTGGAGTCACCCGTTGGAGTACAGAGCTTATTGTTGCCGCACTTTCCGACCAAGGACCAAAGTGGCTAGCTCTACACGATCCTGTTTATTGAGAATAAACATCGGCAGCGCAAAGCACACATAAACATAAACCCCAGCATACAAATGGGGAACTCCAGGGACTCCCAGTGAGCGTAGGCCTCCCTTTTAATAACCTTCGCGACATGCCAGGGGACAACGGATAAATATTGAAAATTTAACAAACATACAATTATTAGTTATAAATAGTTACCCTAAAGAAGGTCATGGTGGAGCCACCCTCTAGAGTCCCGTAGGAGATCTCAGTCTGCTCCGAGAGATCTGCAGCGTTCTCTATGGGGGTGATCATCCTCTCTACTGTGAGGAAGGCTGCCAGATTAGCGGTGTAGGACGAGATGATGATCAGAGTGAAGAACCACCAGATACCTCCCACGATACGTGTAGATGTCGCCTGATCGTTACAGAAAACATCATACACATTGAACCTTTGAGTAAAACAGAAATAATCCATGTATTATTACTAAATAATATGTGTAACCTCCTTTACTATAACTTCTAATATTACAAATTAATCTACTCACTTTAAGTTGATTGCTGGTTCTTATTTTACGGGTAAAGTTTTAATATATATTGTCGATATAAAAATTTCCATACTAATGTTGGTAAATAGGTTATGTCAGGTATTTGTTTAATTTATTTGTATTGACTAAAAATCAGGTCATAAACTAGTCTATTACCATATCCTTGGCTTGTATATTGGAAATTTTAAATAAAAAGGGTCTTAGTATTTAACCATATTACTAGGATATTTCTCTTATCAATGTTTACGAAACGCTAAAACTGAACAATAATACACTAAGTTGGAGTCACAAGCTATTTATAGTGTACAAATACGAATTTTAAGGAAATCGAGTTGTTTTCCATGAAACATACAGTATAAGCCTAAATGTTTAAGCTTACATCTATCTTTAAAATAAAGTTTATATTTTCGTGTATTCAAATTCAATTTTTTTTGGAAAAAATTATTAAAAAAAGAATTAAGTTTTAGAAGTCTACAAGTTTTAAGTTTTAAACTATTTTTTGGAACTTGTTTATAAAATACTGATGTTGCCCAGTGGTTTATTGTTTTTAGGCTATAGAGTAGACGAGACGAGGTTGAAGGTAAAAAGGAAATGTTTAGGGTGGAGAAAATCCTTTAGTGGCATTTAAAATTCACTCAAAACCAGACATAAAGCTCCACTAACCATAAAATAGAAGAGGAGAAAACTGTTTCTTAAAAAAAATCAGAGAAAACATAATGGTCCATAAACGTTATTGCAATGTTAGAGGATAGCAATAATAATAACACTCACACATAAACAATAAACTTAGATGCTGCCATGAATGTTTTGCAACCGATTGCTGTACCATAGAATCCATAGATGAAATTAAGCACCAAGCTTTTCATGCAGTTATGTTTTATTCAATGCATGCAACGTTATTTATAAATGCATAAAATTATGTGTTGCACTGTTTTAACTTAATTATGTTACAACCAACATAAATAATATATTTTAATCAACACATTATCCGCAAAAATTGATGAGGAAATGTTTTGTTTCTATTGTTTTAGTGGTCGGAGGAATTTTTGCAATATAGAAACATAAAAAAATATTTAAGGTGACATTTCAAAATGGTATAATTTATGTAGGTTTGTTCAGATACGTTTGTAATATAAACTGTTCTCTTTTTCAAATATATAAACCATATTACATTTTATACGTTGAGTAATATACTAAGAAATTGAGCAGTGAATTAAAACAGGTGCTTCTAACCCCTCCCTTTCTAAGGTACAAGCATGCGGTTACAAACAAAACAAAACATGCAGATCTAAGCTTGGTGCTTAATCTCAAGCATTCCGGACCCGATGGTACCTTTGGGTTGAGGTCGGAGCCTTGTTGCATTAGGGTGCCGATTGTGAACCAGAAACTGTTCGCCAAAGTGAAGTCATTCTCCACAACCAGTAGAGAGGCTACTATCTGGTCCTCGTCCTCGTGATGGTGGTCGTGGTCGTGTCCGTGGTGGTTATGGTGATCGTGATGGTCATGGTCGTGGTCAAGATGGTCGTAGTCATGGTCGTGGTCACTTACATGGTCGTAGCCATGACCATGCACTAAGTCGTGCTCACATACCATTTCCTGCCCGTGCTCCAGTTCCCACAGCGCACACTCGTCACATACGGTTGGTGAATACCACTCGTAAGGTGAGAACCTTGCCACTACCCATATAGTTAGTGATACCAACACGTACGCACCCAGCATATAGAACCAGATCTCCACCGCCAGTGGGTTCATGAAGGAGAACAGACGGTTGGGCATGCTCTCTGACGCCTTGCAACGGAAAATACAAATGTAAGGAAAGCTTACAATTTAAATGTAAATGCTAGTCTGAAGCAATTAACATTGACTAGGCTGGTAAAGTAATCCGATTGTTAATATTTTCAAAAAAAGATCATTTTAGTATGCATAATATAAGTTTAAATTAAGACCTGAATCTTGATTTAACTAGATTTAAATAAAGATTTAGGTCTAAATAGAACCTATGCAAGCAATCATGTAAACATGCTGGTGTCTCACAATCTGCTACGCAAAAATATCAGATTGGTGCATTATTTCCATTTTATTGAGTATTTGAGAAACATAATTAGCGTCAACACTTTATTATCAGCCTAGGCAGAAGCCTATACAACTTTTTAGTTGCATATTGTAGTTATCCTGAATGATTTGGAGAAATATAGGTTTATTTAATTTCAATTAGTTAGGTGAGCTATTTCGGCTTATTGAAAAAAGTGGTTTAGTGTAAACATCACAAAAGATTTGAGAAAAATTCCAACCTCGACTCTTATTAACTCTTTATTGTTTAAGATCTAATGTCAATGTTACTTGCTTACAAACCCATAACCAGACATTCCAAAGTGAAAAAAACTGCATTCCCTCATGCAGCACAACATCAAGACGACAACATTCATGGCAGCTTCCAACGGCATGCGAATGTAACCTAAAATTTCACCTTTGGATTTAAACCCGACCCCTGCCTCAGGAAGGTTCCCGTGATGAACCAGAAACTGTTTGACACTGAGAACTGGTTTTCTACCACGTCACTCTCGGCGAGGCAGGGGTGGGGGTTGTTCCACTCGTATGGGGAGAACCTCGCCATGACGAAGAGGGTGAAGCTGACGAGGAGGTAGGCGGCCAGCACGTACAGCCAGATCTCCACTGCCAGAGGGTTCATGAACGAGAACAGTCGTGTGGGCTGAGATGTCGGCACCTATAATATTGATGTTGCCTAGTCAATTTACTAATAAATATTTTTCTGGCTTGATATACGTCTGTTTACACCTTTACTCGGAAAATACTTTTTGGTGAGATAGTATTTTTTTTTTACTTCGACATTGGGACAACCGAATTTCTTCCAAAATCTATTTTACAGTCAACCACTACGCTTTACTTGTTTATTTGTATTTGCAATACGTATAAAACACAAATGGATGGTTTGGACTGTGACCTGTTTTGTTTTGATTTTAATGATCGACTGCACACCGTCTACCGCTTCTTTTTGCCGTATTAATTCGATTCTATTTTTACATATTTGAATTTTATTGATGAACAATAATTTTGATAAAAAGCCATTTACACGTCAAATACTCTCGTATATTGTAAAGAAATATACATCAACAATGTCGGTATTATTTTAATTTTTATATTTCCAACTATGAGCTCAAACTTAGGTTTTTTTGAATTTTGATTTAATGTAGGCCCAACTAAATCTTTTTAGTAAACATATTCCTTGTTAAATACAATAGATTTGTAATATCAATTTTTAATGTTGAAGAAAATATTAAAATCTAACGAATTTTACAAAGAAAAACTATGAAACAAAATGGAAAAAAAACCTATCAACTCTTAGGCCTAAACAATAAATAATAACAACTAGAGAGAGTTTTGTCAAGGATGGATTGTGACCAAATAAGTCTTTATTATTTTGTATAAAATATAATGAATGAGCGACATCAAACTTTTCATTACAAACTTAGTTTCACTTCAATTAACCATAAAAAATCAATTCGAATTCACCTCTATAAATTTACTGTGAAAATATAGGTAATTGCAAAAACTGTCTTTTGCGAATATATTAATTTTTCTTTCACTTACAATAGTATTTTATCTAACAGTTTTACTTCAAACCACATTGTTTTGTGAATCCAATAAAGTTGTTGTACCTGATAACGAAGAATACCGTGTAGGAAAAAGCTTACGTAAGGGAAGATGTATTGTTCTCATAACAAAGTGTAGGAGCTGACACTTGGTTGAGACTTAATTGAATAGCCCTAGCCACGGAAAGTGGCTCTATCGAGATGCAATAGGGTCAAGAAGGTAGAGGTGAAGTGAGCCGTACCTTGAAGAGGATCCCAATACCCAAGTTCATGAATGGTTTAGTGAAATCAATCACACTCTCCCTCGCATAATTTATCGTCATCGACGCCACTGCCAAGTCCGCTCTCTGAAAATGATGCTTAATTAAGTCACACAATTATGAGAATACATAAAAAAATGTAATCTTGATATTTAAAATAACAAGTAAATTTATTACAAAATATATACTTTTATATAATAGGTATTGTTAATGTAATCATAAGAATGATTGAAAAATACTATTAGGCTTTATTGAAAATAAATTACGACGCAAGAACATATTTAAAGAATAACTACACCTTCATTCTGACCTTAAAATGTCAGTTTTTGAATGATATAACAATAGTCTAAAAGTAAAGTTATGAGAATAGTAATATTGAAGCACTTTGTCGGTAGCAGAAGTAGGACAAGTTCATTAAAATATATATATTTGCTCTCAGCTACAATATTAGTCTAACTGTATGATGAAATAAACGAGATGGATCTAGTACTTACTAGTGACTTTATTGAAAACACACAATACCTGATTGCAAAAGAATAAGAGCTTATGAATAACTTATCGGGGTAGTGGGGTTCTATCGCCCTGGAATTTTACCCCCTGAAAAAACTGACGTTATAAACTAATAATCCAAATATATCCATTAAAACACGCATTTTTTATGCACACGCAACATTTTTAAGCGTTTTTTTTTGTGGATTAATATTTATGTTCTACGGCACTAAATCGTCTGTAGCACAAAGGACTGTTTTTTGGGCTTTGGCTATTTCATGTTTAATACTATACTAACAATGCATTCCCTATGATCTACTCCCTATTTCCCGATACACGTTAGGAAGGAAAAAAGTATTTATATTAAAGATTTATCCCATATTAAATCCCGACACAAGTTTTAATCTATTTTTCCATGCATCAATTAAAAGCCAAGCCCTCGTCAGTCTCTATAAATTAAAAGTCAGTCTCTACTATTTACAAATGAGTGAAAGTCTCCTTTCTACAGTTAACTTTTATAGAAAACTCGTTTTCTTGCACGTACACAGATTGGACACATACAAACCTCATTCAACTCAAATTAATCAAACTGCACAAATAATTTTGTCACCTATCCAAGGTACCACAATTTAAATGAATCACTCCAACTCATGCTTCAAATATCCATCCCATTTACTAAACAAGGTTGGTGTTTTTTTTTTTGTTTTTATTTTTGATATATTTTTGTGAAATCTATATATTTAATTCAGTAAGCGAATCGGTCCCCAAGAAATTAAATTTAATTAGACATACATTTGCAGTGACATAGGATGACTTGACCAGTTCCATGTTTTAAGGTAGCATATGTCTGGCGATACGCGATCTCGTGACAACTTTAAAGTCACCTAGTATACTGCTGTTTAAAATGCCTCAAGGACACCTACCCATGCCGATTGTACACGCAATGGATCAATTTCTACCTCTACGCCATGAGTGCGTCGTAGCTTCCACCATTCTTCTCACCAATACACATTCTTTTCAATACTTGTTTCTCGCTATATTCAGTACAGTAATCGGTCTTCAGCAAGGGATACCACTTGAACTTAATTTAAAAGAAGCCCCCAAGCGCAACGATCAATACAAACTGAACATGGTTTCAAAACTTTAAAAAATGTTTGCAACTTATCTCAGTATAAAATCACCAACCGTTTAAGATGTCTAGTGAGCACTTAGCTGTATGACTGTGTTTCTAAAACATTATAATACTGTAAATGTACCACAATGTATAAATATAGCCAATCTACCTTCTCCATTAGCTCTCGCACGATGCCGTTCCACTCCTTGGAGTCAGGGTCGTACACGCCATACATGTGGTCTGGCACCAGTCTAATGGCGTAGTGGAACCCCACCTGAGTGGCAATCCACTTGAGCAAGTCTATACAGAACCCTTCGAACCTCGCGTTGCCTGTGAGGTTCTTATCTTCCTTTACCATTACATACGGCTTTTCCTGAAATCGTGGATACAAAATAAGTACTTTGCTTACTAATGTAATTTCGTTACCACTGAATGGCAGTGATACTGCAATATTTGACATAAAATACCTAATACAAAAAAAATTTAATTTTTCAGGTAAAATGGGACAGATTATGTTCACCCATAAATTATAAGCTGCTAATCATGGTATGAGAAGATTTAATATACAGCTTAAATCGAATCTACCTCTCCCCCATATAGATACCTGGAAAACATTTATAATAGTGAATTCAAACCGGTGAAATATTCATTTTTAAAAAGACAGACAACAATGCATTTACACGGATGTACCATAACGTATCCAAACAGAATGTTCTGTTCCAAATACAAAAATTACATTATTAGATCTAAATTAAACATGGCATAGACTGAAAGACTTTACAATGCAACGAACATACAATTGAATTATATTTTCCATATTACTAAAATAACCAATAGATTAGAATGCCATGTAAGAAAGTACTAGGCTTACTAAAGGATGCATTGATCTAAAAATATTTGAATATTTTTGATTTAGAAATGTTAATATACAAACAACTCAGATGTAGGAAATCCAAAGTCCGAGATTTCTCATGTGTGGGTTGTAAAGTAAAGTGGTGGTTGTAGTAGTATGTGGGTCACGTGTTGGCAATACAGTTTTGTGTAAACCGATATTCACGTGGTCCGACTACAAGACCCTAACATCTGCCGCTCTACACCTACGTATTACGGCCCGGTCCTTACCTCCAGGATCAATAAACTTTAATAGATTTGCTTACTCACATATAGAAGTAAGTACTAAATGTATTCAGAAATACTTTAAACGTAATTTCTTATAAACGACAAAAAAGTAAATGTTTTTTTTAAGATCTCTGTTTTTGTAGTTATAAAAACAAAAATTTAAAATAATAAAATGAGTCCTGTCGCAACAGATTTAAGGTAGCATGATTATAAGTAAGTGAAATATTTATATGGAGGAAGGATAACATAATTATACTGACTGGTAGTTTGACGAGATATAAAATACTTTGTCCTTTATTTGTCAGTAAGGATATGAAAAACATTAAGGTCATTTAATGTCTATAAAAAGTTCACTTGATATTATGACGTTATAGCTCAATAATATAGTTTTTAATGAAGAATCCATTATTGAATGTTGTTGCAACATCAACATGATAACACGACCTTTTGATAAGAAAAAAAAACTAACTATAAGTATACTGATAACTAGTGTTAATTACTGCAAGGCAGGTGTTAAAACGCTAAGATGAAAAAAATAGAACATGTTAGATTGTAATTAATTTACATTATAACAAAATATCATTTTGACACTGACGCTATCATAAAAGTTAATTAGTATTTCCAAAATATTTCCAAAATGATACTGAAGAAAAAAAGCCGTATTACAAGCCAAAATGTAATCTTTATATTTAATATTGATTCAAACTAGTTTGCAAAAAAAGAATGAATTTACACTAAGAACCACCCCACCTAATTTTCACAGCATGTATTTGTTTTATGAGCCTATGTTCATTCTCGTTTATTCTCTTTTATCTCTCTTTTATTAGTTTCTTCTCTTTATGGTCAATACAGATGACTAAGATCTAATCTTGACACTTCAAATAACTGAATAATAGGAAAAATTATTCAAATATAATACTTTGCCTTATAATCCTAAAAAAAGGTATACTGCATTAATCATATTTGGGAAAGTATTACAAAAAGGGAAACATATATTTAACAAGTGCCCGAGGTTTCCTATAAAAACTATACTTTAAGGGGTCAACACAAATAATCAAACCCTTGTTATAAACTGTGAATCTCATGATTTTTTTTGGAAAAGTAAGCTAAATGGAAACTTACCTCTCTCGTCATGACGACTAAAGTGATGTTGGTCGCACTACTCTCATAAAACGCCGTCGAGTCAGTGATGTTTATTCCCTCTGCGGGCGTCCAATGACCGACTTTCCGGAGCTCCTCTTTCTTAAGTTTTAAGAGATCCAGTTTGAAGTTACTCCGTTTCCCTTCGTTGAACTCAATTCTCCCGGTGAGGCCATTCACCACCGCCTGTTAACATCAACTTAAATTAGACCCGACTCAACTTTAAAGTTACATTCTTCCTTTTTCTTACTTAACTTTCTGTCGTTCTTTAGTTCTAAAATGGCCTGATGAAAAATTTTCCTTTGAATTTTATATTTATTTACAACAAGGTATGTTCGGTTTTAAAGCTAAATAGCCGTTCTGAAATACAGTAGCTGTAGACTTTACATTAATTTCCACAGAACCAGGGGTTTTAAAATACGGTAAACATTTTGGTAATAGAATTTAATGCCCTTTAAACTTATTCTGCATCTCATATCTGTGTTTTAATGTGTATAGGTAATATATGTATCACATTATTCATGCGTACACATATATTTGACAAAGCAGCGTATTCAATACCTGCGTTTATGTTAATGACTCAATGAATTTAGCTTAATTATCTAAGCTATTGTATTCCCTATATGAAATACATATTATCCAAAATGTTTTACATATAGTGGTACTCTTGGAAATTACGAACCATTTCTTAAAGATACATTTGAAAATAAAATGTAGCTTATCAATATGAGAAATATTTTTGCGCGAGAGTAAAAACTATACGATATTGCTTAAGTTTGTTAATGTGATGAGTAAATTAATTAAACTAAACACTGATAGAACAGATAGATAAAAAAAAAAAAAAATTGATAAAGTTTTGATGTCCTACGATGCAATAACACGAGTTCATCAACCTAGATAAAACTGGCTTCGATGACAATTAAAAGCATACCGTTAGTTTTGTTTGTTTAAAATAAATCACATATACGCTTGTGCTATTTAATCAATTTATTTTATCCCAAAACATTTCAAATAAAAATATTTTTTTGCAAAATGTTATTGATGTCACTATACGATCAATCCTAAAACATGATAGATAATAACAGATACTCTTTTAATCCATTTAATAATTTAAATTTCGTAGTTTAATTTTCTAATTTCTAATTTCATTTTTAATTTCGTAATTTAATTAATAAATATTATTATATAGCGCAGTTTGTAAGAAACAGCATTGAATGTCTTAAAAATCAAATAGGTTGGTTAAGTGACTAATAATACTGATTATATAGTGCTGAAACTAGATCACTGATCTTTACGTAAAAATAAATTTATAAGGGCTAAGTTTTTATTTTAACTCGATTCTCTAAAAATTATACAAACCAGTAAAATATCTATACCATTTGTATTATATCTATGAAAACTATTTGGTAAATATCTACGTTGAAACACTCTTAGTATATATTGAGAACAACTTTTGCCATGTAAACTTCTTTTATTTAAGGTTTGCATTTTCAAAAAAATAATAAACAATAATTTGAACGTGCAACAATAATGAATGAAGGTTTATGAGTTAAAAATTTATACAAAGGGATGGCACAAAATGGGGCATTGTCTTATTGGTAGCTACATTTGTTTCAACATGTATGCAATGTTTATGCAAATATGTGTGTGTTTAGGCATACATTTGCATAAGATGCTACTAGGCTAGATTGAGTAATGGTGTCATACACCATATACTATGGTACTCCTTAATCATTGTTAGTGTCATATGTGCCCCGAAATATTATCATATAAAGCTATAATTTCTTTAAAAATGTATTTTAAAAAGGAACATATTAATAAAAAATATTATAATTACTCCCGCCAGATCTAACCTGAAGACTATGCGAATTTCCATTATTAAATGGCTATATTTCCACTAAAACACTCACTTGAAACTGTCAGATCTATTTCCTATTCAAATAACATTCATTTTTATGAGTACAATATTTACTTCTACAGGTATGGTAAATTAGGTGTGTTTTACTATTTAATATTGAAAGTTGAGTATAAAATAAACAAAAATGGAAAATTTCATACATAAATATCTATAAACAAGCACAGTACAACAGTTTATTATCCTCCATAAGAAAATAATTTGATAATAAATCGTTAAACTTTATGTTTTTGGTGGGGGGAAGACTATTTTAACGCCAATAAACACGCTAAAACCACCCTTCTAATAGTGGGATCATGCTGGTTTACAAACTCGCTTGACTAAACATAGGTTTTCAGGATTGTATGGAATTAACAAAAATCTGATCATTTTATATTCAAGTTATCTCGCTAACGGACATTTATTATAATATGTGTGTGTGTGCATTTGAATGGTGGGTGTTTTTGGCCTCTAGGGACCTAAAACGAAAAAGTAAAATAAAATTACCTGGCCCCGAGTCGAGGTCTTAACATGTTATCCCCCTCCTATATGTTACTCCCCTCACTGGGTATTCCCCTCAGGTCACTGGGTAATAGCTTATTTATTCCCACTTCGCTAAAATATTTTTTTCATACATCTTTTTTGCTGTAAGTTATCATACTACCGTAATGACAAAAACACCATAAACGATCCCTAGTCACTAGTTTCATTACCTACACTTCGCAAAGGAGTAAGATAACAATGTACAGTGGTTCTAGTGTCAAATCTGCAGTAATCAGTAATCACCCACCTACTATCGATCATAGAATCCAAATAAAAGTAAATCTCCTTACCATAAATTTCCATAAATTTCCTTTTTTATGGTTTTCTATTTAGTATTTTGCAAGACAAAATTGATAACTTTATCAAAGTATATACATATTAATAAAATATTTACTGTTGTCCGACAATTTAACTTATACTATCAGAATTCCAAATTACCAACTTGTAAATGTCTGGACGTAGTCAGAGTTGAATTGAAATGTAGTTAATGCGTTGGCGTGTCATCTGTTGACAGGATCGTGATAAAAAGTTATGTAAATGGCAGCCCAATTGGTTTAGTAGTTTTTCCGTTCAAGATAAATCATTACAACATAGTAGTTTACGCAACGATTGCGTTAAGTGAGTCTTTACGACACGAGTAGAAAATTTAAGGCACGAGCCTTGGCGAGTGCCTTAAAAACTTCTACGAGTGTCGTAAAGACTATTAACGCGAGTTGCGTACACTACTTTACCTACAACCGTTTTTTAATTACTATCAATCTGGATTTAATTACTAACAATCACTAATGATAACTTTTTAGAGAGGTTATGTTTTCGTGTATTGTCATTGCCACTGAAAGTGATGCAACGACTTGTTGTATAATCAGCTGATTTCCTGTAATTACGTGTTTGTTAAACTTCGTTAAATATTACATTGCTAGCAGCATTCTTACCATAAATAATATTGTATCAGGTACAATTCGGCAAATATTTCATTTATTTTTGGACTTCCACCAACTTAATTAAGAATACGCGAGTATCAACATGAACATGTCGGATCAACAATTAAATTGGTCAACTGATCAGCTGATTAGTTGACGTTCGAAGCATTACAATTTTAATTCTTTTCTCTCAATACTTGAACCTCATTGGTCCGTTACCTGTGTGGATATGAGAAAACTATGCGGATATGAAATGAAACTATGCGGATATGAAAGTAAACAGCTGTAAAGTGAAACTTTTCAATTCTAAGAACTGGACTGAAATGGCTACTTTAAAAAACGGTCGTAGGTAAAATATTTTTTACCATAGCTATTTTTTTACACATTGCGAATTGTTTTACCATATAGCATTCAGAGAAGATACTTACAGAGCTAATGTAGTTGTATAGGCTCAGACCATCGTCCCAGGGCTGCTCAAGCTCACAAGAGAGGTTGGCTGGTCTGAGGACGTGGCTGCGGTCTAAAGCTGCTAGACCCTTGGCAAACACGTGCACAGAGTCGTACATCAACGCCGGCTCGGCCTGAAAACAAAAGTCAACTCTGTTTGCGGTTTTAAAATATTGAGAGTCAAAATTTTTGTCTAAATTTGTATTCCAAATTTTAATCTTAGTCAGTTTTTTTTATTTAGTCTTAAGTTTAGAAGTTTGCAGGCATTTGTGACATGTCTACGGAACTAGACTATAGACAATAGCAATATCGTCTATAGACAGCAATAGACAATCTTAAAAATGTAACTCAATATATGATCGTAGGTAGAACCATACTCTTACGTTACGCTTTTAAATATACCTGGATGACCCCGCTTCGGTTGAGGATCGCATGGCCAATTGGTTGGAACCTCTCCATCTGCTCCAATGTCTCTGCTACTTTTGCGTTCTCCACGTCAACCAATCGAAACGCAGTAATGTTAACGGAGTTGTACTTAAAGTCTTCTAAATCAAATGTCTCGATGTCCTGAAACGATTGAACACGATTAAACATATTTAGTAACAACCACTTTTTATTTCTTGTAAAGTTTATTGTAATATTAGTTTCAAATTAATTTTGCTTCGGATAATAAAAGTATACACTGGAAATGTTTCAGTGAGTGAGTTATTGAGTGAGTTTTTTAGTACAAGAATGTAGTGTGTACCGTTCAGATATTGACTTGAGTGGCCTTCGTAGTTAAAGGTGTCAGTGCTTAATCCAAATAGGCATTAGTTTGTAGGAATAAAAAAATCATTTAATTGTCATTAAAATGTTACCTTATTAGGTATTTAAAAATCTATTTCCCATATTTTCATTTGTTTTTGCAACGAATTTACCATTAGAATGGATAGATCTTTTTTAACATAAAATAACATTTTATAGTACTATCGGGTGTCAGAATTACTAAAAGTTATTGATGAAAAGTGAGGCAACTTCTCAGTGACCAGATCTTTGTATACAATCACCGTTTAAGATAATGAATCAATCACTCATTTAGATGGGGACCACCTAGGTGCGTATTAAAACCCAAATATGAGTGAAGGATGAGTGTAGAATGGTGTGTGATGACCAGTGTAGATTTGTTACTGACTAAGATCAGTGGTTTCACTATTTAGGATCATTTATTTAAAGCCCAATGATCAGGAAACGCTGGGTCCAGTTTCGAACCATCAAAATGCTACTGTCTTTTCTCAGGATTGAACCGGCGACCTTTTGATTACCAGGCGAGCACTATAACCACTCAGCTACCCAGCCAGTTAAATAATAATAATAAAAGTGACCACAGTATTATAATTCACTCACTAGGAGAAGATAAAACAAAAAATACAAAGATAAACAAAAATGCTATATAGTGTAGTGTAGTGGCGTAGCACGTGTTTCATAATAATGTAACATATATTTAGTATTTCTATTAAGTTAAGTGAGATATATATATTTAGTTTCAGGACCAGGATAAACCCAATAGAGAATCTGAAGACAATCTGATTTGCACTTGTATCGTATCCTGACTAATCAGTATTCAATGGAGCGACGGAATATACATACGGTTCTGGGCCATTACAGGGAGGCATTTCACACATTATGATAAGACTGATAATGGTGGCCAAATATTGTACATGCCCTGCAAAGATTCCGTACACGAACAATTCATAAATGTCTCCACTACGGCCTATTTCTACTAGGTGTGTGTACTAGGTATTTCTACATTTCTTTTGCAGACTGAAGAGCCTAGCTAAGAATGCACATTTATCGGTCAAAAAACTTACAATTCACCCGTTGAGTGGTAATTAGTGACATTATTAAATGTAGGATTTTCTGCATGCAATATATTTTATGACTCCATCTGACAGCTGAGTCTAGCGTTACAGGTATTCCTTAAATTCAGTATTCTGAAGAATTCAGTATACATTTATACAAACTTTGCGTACAATTTAATATAAAAATTAACTTATATAGGCATATACGGACACAAATAATACTAACCAAATTTAGTGTATATATCATCGCTTGAATATTAGTTTGTTAGTTATTAGGTAATTAATTGGTTTGTTAGTTTTTTAAGTAGGTTTAATTTGATAGGTTATGTCATCAAGTAACTTTTTGCGTTCTCTAAAATAGCTGGTTACATTTCTCCTTTATTTTTCTATTACTGTATGATCAAGATTTATTTATACACGTTAAGCGTTTAAATAAACTCTAACCTGTCCTGTTCTTATTATTTATGTAAGGCTCATTTATTTATTTGAATTGATAAATTATAACTACGTCTCTATAACTAAGATAACATATTTAGATTTCACGATACTTACAAAAGTAGTGAACATGTAGTGGTATCTGTAGTCATTCATTTGTAACTGGAGTATCTGTAAAATGTAAAGTTTGACATGAGTCAGTAATGAATGTAATTTGACTAACACTAAAAAAGCACCAGCTTAAGAGAACAGTTACATCCCTAAAAATATTTTTCTGTGGAATGAAGCGAAGCTTTTTCTTCAATGCAAACTTTGAAATCTCATCGCGCAATAACTAATGAACATATTTCAGTCAAAATCACAGAGGTTCTTTCGACAAACACTGAGAATTCTTAAAAAATAAATTTCCATTTTATAATGCTTATAACATTATAATACAATTTACATGTTTTACATTGGGCGTATTGGTTACAATGACGATTTCGAAATGACAACATAGATGTAAAAAAAGAGTTATAGCATACGTCTATAAAGAAGCCGATATAAGACCTAAATACAGTACCAAGAAAAAAACACATTTGGAAGAAGGCCATTGATTGAAGTATAAACATGTTTCTTGCTGTGTTATAAAACTATCACTGATCAAACGTACAGTATTTATTGTTTTTATGCAATAAAATCAGGTAAAAAACTTAAATCTGCTGTTTTAACTTACTACACAAATCAAGTCAATGTTTGTCAAAGGTAAAGAATATAAAATTGTTTTACTTTATCAATAGACGTTGTTTAAATTTCATATTTATAGACAAATCATTGAAAGGTGATCCCTTTTCTCAACTGGATTTGACTGATCTGAATTAATCCTACCCTTTTATTTACTAAAGAAAGGATTGATGTATCGTACATATTTTCTAATTATAAAACCTTATTATTTATATTTAGAAAATTGTTCGTTATGGGCTCTCAAATGTCATAATATGGTTTTGTTCTTATTAATTTATAGTATTTATTATTGATACAAGTAAAATATGTCTGATTATAGTTTATGCCATTAACAGTTAGTTAGTAATACGTAATGACATAGTACTTAACTAATGGTATTTATTAAATACAAAATGAATGGTCTCACCACAAATAGGACAGTGGTAATTAATGCTCGTTTCGAATGTGGCTGGATGGCCCAACTAATCTGCTGACACAGTTCCCAAGTTCTGCAACTACTGTGATAAGGGTTGAATTTATCATCATAACATATCTTCCTTCCATGAACACAAACTGAATGAACTTGTAATGATGAATGAACTTATAATTTTGATTGTCGCAAAGTAACTTACAGCTCGGAAGAACTGGCTCATGTGCTTAGGATTAGTGTCAACGATGAGTTTGAAGATCTCCTTCTGGCGGATCTCCCGCAGGACCTGACGGTAGGTGGCCGGGTTGGCTTGTCTGATGTACATCTCTGTCCTGGTGGCTGGCGGAGCCTTTACAAGGTCCTGCAGCTTGAACAGGCCTGAACACACTGCGAGGGGTTAGTGAGAAGTGAGAGCAGCGTATATAATATTGAAAGACGCAATTTAACTTGGGTAAGGCTCTTTGTTAACGTTTATGTTTTAAAACTGTTTTTAAACTCACCGTTGACGTACCATTGGCATTTGCTATATATAGTAACAGCAGTAGCATAATAACACACGTGTAAACGTTGCGCAGATGGTCTAGTGCAACAGCTGTTTATGTAGGCCTGGATTGCGGTGTTGCCACTTTGGTCTTGCCGCAGCATTATACTCATGTATAGGGAGGCTATTATTTGATGCTTTAAACCAGTTTTACTAACACCTTTATGCATTGTGGATTATGAAACTAATCTTTAAATATATTCCAATCTACACTTATATTTTATCGTAGGAACCAATCAATATGGTTTTCACTAGCATTAGTTTGAAAATAATATGTGTTTACTATTGGATAAGCTACTGCTTTATAAGCCTTCATTATATTTTAGTATATACTCCTTTTCATAATTTATATTGGTCAGCAAAGTATTTGTTCAAAGTAGTTATATATTGTGTATTGCGCAATTTAATGTATCGAGGCCAGAAACTGACTGACTGTTTGGAATCGTAATAAACGTGACTAATGCTAGTATCAGAACAATAAATCAAACTTTTGCTAAAAGACAAGACCCGAGGCAACGAATAATACTTATTTAATTCCTAAGAAATAAATTACAAAAATAAAACCAGGCTTCATAATTATAACTATTTTAAAAGCTGCTATCCTACAAGTTCATTGACCTAGATAAGTTAATATATTGCCTCGTTCCTAGTTCTTATCTCTTTGCTTTTTTGGAAAACTTCAACAATAATAACGTTTCATTTCCAAGCTATCCTGCACTGTTTATTGCATTGTTTTTAACATACATTTACTACTAAGCTTTTAACCTTTAAATACAGTTTCATAAATTAATGGAAATTGGGCTTCGTCGGATGATATAGCGGCGTTAACTACATTTACTGAATATTCTTTTTCCTTAAATCTAGAAAATGTATAAAAAAAATGGCAATGTATATAACAGTAGTATCCCAAATAAATGAAAAGATAAAAAAGGCATTTAACCCTCTACCAGGAAGATGCTCTAAACTATAAAAAAGTCAATCAACAAAATCCATAATGCCATGAAAAAGTTACCAATTAATTATTAATAACCATTACACAATTATCATGAACCGGTCAGTTTTCATATATACACCATACAATGAAATGCATAACATTTCCCAAATTCAAAACATTACTTATGCAATGGTAGTTGTTGAAAATTTATTTTATAGAACTTTTACTACGCATTTATTTTATTCATCAAAACTTTACAACAAACCTAATGGTTTGATTTTTAAATAAGCCAAAAAAGTACATCTCTTATTACGGTATACATATATACAGACGATCAAGATTTCAAAATATGTTATTTCTTATTACAGAAGGAAGATCGTCTCTTAACATACAGAGTCTGAGCTTAATAAAGAGGCCAGTTAGTTACATTTTACAATATACTAGTAAACCCTATGTTTTCATAAGTTAACTATGGATTCAAGGCATTGCCACATTCTCAAATCTCCCGTCTTCTTTTTTTTGTGCTGAAGGTTTATAATATAAAACATTTGTAATTGAATACAGCACTTACCTGTGTACTATAGTGAACTATTAAAAACTATATGATTGACGACTTAAACAAAAAATAACAAACATATTTGTTTATTTAGTGTTGATTTTCAATCCGGGATGCAAAGAATGTGTGTAATAACAAGCCTACTAATCTAAACAGATATGTATATACAAATTATTAGCATATTTGAATGAGGTAAGCACAGTTTTATCAGCATGCTAAAAACATGTTGTAAACATATATACCTTTCTATTTGAAATTACTACAGTTCAGCGTATACATATATATTTGTAAGCAATTATATGTAGCAAGTTGTTTTTTAAAGTCATGCATCTTCAAGAAAAACGTGAAGTCCATGTGGGAAAATCTATATCTAAAATGGAAGGCTTCTTATTATTTAAATTTTTTATGATCAAGCCTACGCGTCAATCTTCGATCATTTCTTTACTGTAACATTTGAAATATAACATTCTTTAGTTCGCAGTTATTTTCTGACTTTGTCACATTTATTGTTTAGTGAAGAAGAGCTTTAAATGTATAACCAGCTAAAGAACAAAAGATTGTTTCATATTTAATAAAACTGAAGCCATTGAGATGTGCATTAGCAAGCTCATCATCACAACTAAACTATGCTTGACGTTCATGCCTTGAGACTTTAATATCATCTGACCTTTAGTGTTCACGATACTGGCTGTTAAAACAAAGTCAGCTTATAGCAAGGACAATGAACTTTTCTCAACATTCCATCCCACATTAACCCTGACTATAGTAATTCCTGAGCTAAATACTAATACACTCTTTGCTTAGAATTTTTCCTGGCATGTTCAAACCCGTCATGATAATTTTTTTTGTCAATTTAAATAAATTTACAATAGTCAAAATTCTGAAGAAGCTTTCAGAAATATCTAAATTCTGAGGTAGCATGATCCTTTCTTCTTGAATATAATTCTAGAATGTGATTATGTTAGCAGTTCTTTCAAAGAATAATTTCGACATAGGCTATTTATTAGCATATTAGCTAGACGGCTACGTTTACTTATTCTTTCAACCATAAGACCAAACAGGTTACATTCATGATATTATTTCCAAAAGATAATTGAAAACTAAATAATTACAGCTTAACAAAAAAATTGGCTTGGATAAAAATAGACTGGAAAATTGTTTACTATGGTAATGCGTATGACACAGATACAATTATACACCAGGGTAAATTGACAAGGAATTATCTTTACTCTTTGACAATTAGTTTACTACTTGACAAAAGATAGTGCTAATCTATATTATTTCATGTCTTACTGTATTATATAATTTTAGGGACTAACACAAACAATAATTTAGGAATTGACGACCGATTTACCTGCTGTTATTATAATATAAATTTAGTTTTAATTTATTAATCCTTGAAATTACGTTGAATTAAATTTAGGTTATATCTGCAATAATAAACTATCCATGTACACTTTAATGGCGATAAAAATGAAGTTTTGAGGTTCTACATTTGAAACATGTGAAACTCACCGTAATCCTCCTCATAAATGATGGCGACTTTGGTCCAGTTGAGGAATGTCATGACGTCTTTGAAGGCGTGGTTCATGTGTTCCTGTGATGGATGAAGGTTGATAGAAAACTCCTTGAAGGCTGGCTCAAAGTCTATCCTGGCCTCCACGTGGGGGATGTCCAGTGCCTCACAGATGGACTGGATGTGAGCGCCTAGCAGAGGGTCGCTGGGGCCAAACAGTGCTTGGATACCGAACTCCATCTGCTTGCAGGCTGCGGAAACATTTTATCAGCCAGGGCTCAAAACCACTTGTTATTAGATAGACTCGGAGACTGTGCCATTATTAAAACTAAAAAAAATTACAAAATAAAAAATACATTTTTCAAACTAATCACGAGACCAGATAAACACATTCCTACATACCTCACACGTAATAACTAAGACTAATTTCGAAATAAGAGAAAGATACAAAAACTACTGGGAATCAGACTTAATCATTAAATTTAACTTTTAGGTTAGCAAATCTACTTGATGAATATTTCCAATCCTAAATATTACTAATGACTATGCATAATCAAATTAAGTTTGATATTAAGTAACAATTAATTAAGTAACAAGTACGGTACCATTAAAATCAAAAGGTTTAATTTCCGAATACACTGCGGTTGTAACTATTAAAACATAGTTTTTTGAGAAAACTATACTTGTTAAAATCCGAATTCCTTGGCTTTAGTAATACTTGTAACGATCTAAATAAGGATAAAACAAACCTTTCTTGGAAGTTCTGAAGCTGTCATCTCTCGGGACGTACTGAATGTCGTACACAAGCGTGGTGTTGGGAAGTAGTTCTTTGTCTTTGTTCAGTCTGTAGACAGCATATTTGAACGCTAACTCTGTGCTGCTGTCTTTCTGGTCTTGTGTGAATATCGCACCTGGAAAGTACTTCGTTAAGAATGTTTGTAAGGCACAAAATAAAAATACATAGCAAAAAAATAAATAGATAGCATTCTAGCTTGGATGAGTTTGTATTACTTTTGATATTGGTTTAACATAGATCTGTGAATTTTGACAGTTTTTAAATCTTGTACCAATTCTTATGTGTATTATTTAGGCTAATTCACAAATTGATTGGAATTGCTCCAAGCTGATTCCATGTCATACCACATTAAATTTAATTTATAACACTAAATATACAAAAGAAATACTACATTGTTCTATTAAAACTTAGTTTCATTACTATTATTTTTCACCAAAGTACATTTTACTGTTCAACTAAATACTAAAATACTAGTATTGCTCACATAAATTAAGGATTTACTTTTTACTTCAAGACTGAGAGTTGATTTTATAAAATTGCATTAGGCCAAGACTTTTTTTGAAATTAAATTCACCTCAAGTATACTCAATTATGCAGGGTGTCTCAGACCACCCGGCCGGCTTCAATAGCTCCAATATGAAAGCAAATGGAAACCTAATCACAATACTTTGAATACCATTTAATGAACCATTAAATATTAAAATAAACTAATTTTGCTATAGCTCTTCAACCAATAAATATGCCAAAAAACATTGAATTGCAAAATTGTAGCTAATTTTAAGGACTACAATGTGCTATTTTATGAAACCCATATTTCCATTTGACATTTTCGAGATAACATCTTTTGAAACTACAAAAAGTTTGAAAATGCATAACATACTGTAGGTAAACAGTTACGAAAGGGTTGAAACCAGAGTTTTTCGTAAGCTCATTAAAGAATTAAAGTGTTATCTAAATGTCAACCTAACACAAGCTTTTACGTCTTTGCAGTGAAAAGTAGTTCAATGGTTTATTTTACGTTTACGTTTTAAACAACCTGTAAATAGGGATAAAAATAATTAAAACCTTTTCCACTAAAATAACACTCAAAATCCTTCAAAATGTATAACACGACCCCCCTTTACATTTATACATTTCTCAAAAACCACCACCTAACCCTCTATAATCTACCATATTTGGTACTTTTTGGGTTTAAAAATCATTTTGCTGAATTCATTGGGGTCAAGATAGGGGGTTACAGTCGCAAGTTTTCTATTAGCTTTCATATTGCAGGTATAAAAGACGGGTGGCCTGGGACACCTTTGTATAATTTTTGAAATGTTTACACTAAAATATTTTATTTATATATATTGGTTCAATGATCATTGATGTAAATACATTACTTACAACTTCTTTAGCTAAAATTTCAGTAATACTGTTCACATATATGTAAGCATCCACATAAACTTTAGTTTTCTTAGCGCTAAAACATTTTTTTATATATTTACATTACAGAAGCCTTACATTACATGACTTGCATAGTTATCAACTCAAGATTGCCATCATAGTACGCATACATAGAGAGTCATGGAGCCCGGAGCGACATTAGAGTCTGCTGGATGTTCGCCAGCAGGCAAATTGCCTTTACCAGACATGTGACGTCCAAGATGCCAAAGTGGCAAATGGCTTAGCTGAACCATTCATTGTAATCAAAGGGTAAACTGGTGTGTCAAATGCAAGACACATCGCACAAGAACAGTAAAGTCTGGACTGATGTGTCAATGTTGTGCTTGTCAACCGGTTAGCTGGCTTCTATTGTGTGGCTTCTGCTCACATACATCACATTAGACAATAAACTCAACTCAACAATATTACTCAACTAATGTAACTAATATACAGTATGTTTTAGTAGTCGTGATGATTACATGTAATTATGTATGCACATTGGATGGATTATGTTATTCTTTCCCTCGAAATATATGTCCAAAAAAATAAGTACTGAACCATTTATGCTTTAAGTGCATTTGGACTGTCTAAAATGACAATTTATTTCTCATTAGTTATTAATTATAATACAGTGTTTTATAGCGTGGCTTAAATAACTAAGACACAGTCTTATACGATGAATTATAATTTAAAGCTAGTAGTAGATCTCAACTCCGAAAAATGTGGTTGGGGCCTAGAATCCTCATTTCATCGTACAGCAGTAGATGCGACAGATGATGGCAAGTACAAGGTGTTTTCCAGATGATGACTTGTAGACCGAGGCATGGCTAAGATCTACTGGCTGATCTCATCGCCGAAATGTGCTTGGACACTACAGTGAGGTCCGAGAAGGCCTTCCATTTCACAAGGTGACAAGATCAGCCTGCAGACCTCACCCCTTTTCACTGTCGATTTCAACCGAAGACTTCCAAATGTTGCCTGTTAATTAAACATTAATAACATGATGGGTTTGTCATAATATGTATCGGGGTTTATAACTTGGCCTCATAAGAACATACAGTTTCATGTGTGATGAATTCACTACTTAAAAATAACTTTCTACAATCTAATTTTACTATAAAGGATGTCAGTAACACATCACCCATTATGTACTACATATTATTGTAAAAACCTGTTAGTTTCGTTGTCATAAACGGAGGATTTACCAGCAAGTTGCAACTATGAACAGGAAGCTTTACACATATAGTAGATGAAATTCCTATCTCCGATTGTTCAAAGATAAAACCAAACAAATTTTGCTAGAATTGTTGATCAAACACATTTCTTGTAAGAAACTTTTCCCAGAATAATAAGAGACAGAGCTAAGAAAACAAGCGCAGTTTAGATTAGGTTTGTTAACCTTTGTTTTCAAAGCGTGACTTGAGTTACAAGCGAGTATTTTGATTTCTTATCCTGGAACAACCTCTAAACATCCCCTTCCTAAAATACTATTTCAAGTTTTTATGACAGCTTAAATCATGTTTACAGTTAATGTAATAGTTAATGTTTTTTTTGAGTTATCTTAGACTTGAAAATATATACTCAAGCTCCAATAGACCCTGTTATATTGTCATTTGCTTCAAAATATCTATGTCACATCAGATACATTTTTGTTTTAATTTTTTTGTAGTTCAGCAGAATTTCCCTAACTCATAATGTTAAGTAGTGAAAATTTAGATATGAATGTTTTTTTTCGACACACAAAGTAAAAGCAATAGTTTGAATTTAATTTGTATGAATATAAGAAGTATGCGCAAAAATTTCAATAGTTTTATAGCAGAAATAAATAGTATAAATAATAGAATCCATTGTATAATACTTAGTCAAATTTGGATAGGTTCAGACGAAATTCACTTATATAACATTCCAGGCTACAAGATGTTTGCTCAGTGTAATGATACATACAGGTCAGGAGGTGTTATATGTTATTTAGACAATAGTATAGATTGTATGAAATTAGAAATAAATATGACCTCAGCTGATGCCTTATTGTTACATGTTACCATAAATAAATTTTACAAAGCTATTTTGCCTATATAGGCTCCAAAACATTTCAGAAAATTTGTTTTTAACAGAATTAACTGATGTAATTAAAAATATGCATAACAATGTAGTCTATTTAGGCGACATCAACATAAATATTTTAGACAATAAACCTGTTGTAAATAGCTACCTCAATATACTTCATAATCAAGGTTTCACATAATTAGTTAACACCCCAACCAGAATTACTGTTACATCTAAAACTTGTATAGATCACATCTTTATTAGAAGCAAAGACATTAATAACTTTAATAGTGCAGTTTTTGATCATGGTATTACAGATCATTGTATTCTAGGACTTGTTCATAAAAATACATGGAAATCTCACAGTAGTGTAACAAGCATATCTAAGTTTGATAATGATAGTTTTCGAATTGATTTTGATTTAGTAAAAGATAAATTGAAAGTGATTAACTGGGACATAGTATATAATGATGAAGATGTAAATAGCTGTTACTGTAAGTTTAATGATGTACTGTATTCAGTTGTAACAAGTTGTAAAAAGGTAAACAGGCAAAGTAGAGTGCAAAAAGCTAAATCATTGAGCCCATGGATAACTCTCGATATTTTGAATGGCATTAATAGGCGCAAAAAGCTTTATAGAATTAGTAAGCGACGTTTATATGACACAACTTTCAGAAATTTCTTTGCTAAATTTTGTAATAATTTGAATGAGAAAATATGTATTGCAAAACACCAATATTATTCTAAACTATTGTTAGACAATAACAACGACATTTCACAACAATGGAAAATAATAAATAGTTTGACAGGGCAAGTGTCAGATAGGAATATTAAGAATGTTGAATTATCAGATGGGACTTATGCAACGGACCCATCCGTTATCTCAGAGGAGATAAACAATTACCTTATCTCTGTACAAGCTGACCGTCCTAGAAGAGTTTCGACCACAAATATGCTTCCACTACGCACCTCACAACAATCATTTTTTATTGCACCAACTTCAGAAGACGAAATAAAGTTAGTGGTCAAAAGTCTAAAGAATAAAAAATCTTCAGGATATGATAATATTTCTACACAACTACTAAAATTTGTTATAGATGACATAGCGCCAGTACTAACACATATTGTCAATAAGAGTTTTAGTCTGGGCATATTTCCCGAAAGCCTGAAATTGAGTTCTGTCGTACCAATTTTAAAAGATAAAAAATTCTACAAAATTAGACAATATAAGACCAATTAGTTTACTTTCAGTTTTTTCTAAATTATTTGAGAAGTTAATGATGTTAAGGTTGAATAAGTATTTGATGAAAATTAACTTTCTTAGCAGTAATCAATTTGGTTTTGTAAGGGGTAAATCGACTGAAGATGCTTTATTAAATGTCACAGAACAAATATTCAATAGTCTAAACTCAAATTGTAAAACATCAGGACTTTTTATTGATTTCAAAAAAGCGTTTGATTTAGTTGATCATGATATTCTCATAGATAAATTGGAAGCGTTGGGTATTAGGGGAACTGCGTTGTGTTGGTTCAGAAGTTTCTTAGTAGGAAGGAAACAAAAAGTAAAATGTTTAATTCATTACAGCTCTGCGAAAACAGTTGAGTCAGGTGTTCCGCAAGGGTCAGTAACCTCTGGTATTTTAT